ATCCTCCGTCAGGTGCAAAGTTGGTCAGATCGGCGGTGGAGGAGAAAAGTTTACGCATTCTCATTTTTCTTCAAAGTCTGGAGAAGGAAGGTGTGGATACGATGCTATTTTTAATAGGTGTTTTGCGTCACGATTTCGCTACTAAGTTCCGAATATATTATATATATATATATATATATATATATATATATATATATATATATACTGTGAGTTCAACAGCAATCCAATAATATTCAATTACATTTAATATGAAATATCTACTATTCATCATTTTTTCATCTGTTTCTATCCTTTATCTATTTGTTTGCTAGAATATGTCATTCCATTCTTTAATCACTGAAATACCAGACTTAACTAGCCTTATTCACTAAAATACCAGTCTTTGCTAACCTTATTCAGTAAAATACGACCCTTTGCTTACCATTCCCAAACTCCCAGGTTCGCTTACCTTGCCCTAATTCAAACATAACGAAATGAGTTCATCGTTGAGAGTAGTCTCCACGCTGAATTTTGGAAACTTCACAGTCAGCGGGACGAAGCGCATCGCCTTTAACTCAAAAGCGAGTCTCTTGGGCTTCAGGCGTCGGACCAGCCATTCAACCGTCTTGGATCCCCTTCCACATCGCGGGAGGAGCACCACCATGGACGCGCTGTCGCCCCTGAAGGGCATCTCCAGCACTGGCGCGAAACTTCTTCGAGTCCACTGAAACGGAGTTGGACATATTTCAAGTTCGTGATAATAACAGGTGATTCATTTTACGATTTCCTATATTGTAAAGGTAACTTGGTCTGATGGAATGTGTACATGTTGCCATAAAGAGAGACACCTAATGTACACATAACTGATTTTGATTTGCGACAAATCGATACAAACGCAATGAAAATGGAAAAAATTATGTAACAAGGGACACTCTGGACACAAAGAAAGGTAGGGTTCATTTTCTATAAAGGAAGAACTCCCATACATTACCATATTTGAAATTTCCCGTTTGCGACATCATATGCACTTCGACAGACTGTTTCGGGGATACGAAAAACTCCTTGTGGGTACTTTGAGACTTGAACGGGTATTTCCAAATGCCTTTGAAGTAGACGGCGTTAGTTAAGACCATTTTAGCGCCTCCAAGAAAGGAGGGTTGTATAATGTTTGGTATTTTTCCTCGCGTTTCGGCGCTGAAGAAGGCATTGATGTAAGCAGCGGCGGTGTCGGGCTGATGGCAGATTCAGGTTTGATTATTTCGGTCTCTGGAGTTTAAAGAGCCTTTAAAGAAATGTATCTGTGTTAAAATAATAAAAGGAGTTTTTTTCTTGTCCAAGGGCGTCTTCTGTATGCGTCATAAAAGTAAAATCCAGATTAAGTTTTCATCCAAATCCACAGTACTTTCACAGGTGTAGTACACACTACCAGACGCACGCGTCCATGCGATTATCAGTAAATCTGCTCTTTTACAATTAAGAGCGGGTATTTGTGGTCGAAATTAGCAAACTCTTTGTCTCATATCACACGCTAAAGCTGTTAACGAGACGTTTGCTACAAATAAAATATATAAATATTTACACATATACGGTAGTCTTATAACATGACGATGTGCATTTGTGTTACTACAAATAAATCTATATAAATGGCTTCAGATGCTTTTTGAATTCTATAGGAATCAGAACTGTAGGTGTCAAACAAAGGATATATCAGTTTATTTTCGCGGGAAAGTTTTCTCCGAGAGCTTTTTCGTGTGAGTGATCGTGGGGCACGGGGTAGGGAAGTGTTTTTGTTGCTATCGAGGAATATGACAACAAAATTTCCATGCAGTTAAAAAATATTCAGAAAGTTTGTACTTGAATTTGAAACCTAATCGTGATGTTATTGAAAGCTTTCTTTTTTAAGTCTGCTGATATGATATATACGTTGGGGTTGTTTTTCCAACCTGGATAAAACATTGCCTTTTTGTATCTGTGGGATTTCCTTTCGTTTTTTATTATCATTATTATTAATGTTGAGTTATTTCTGCAGTTAAATATGTTGATAAAAGTTCATACACATCTTTAGCGTGAAAATGCCAGAATGTTTCATTATTCGCAATAATAAACATGCATGGCAACTCAACTTCCTTTTTTTTTATGGAGTTGACGTCATTATGTATCAATACCTGATTGGTTGGACTAACTAGCTCATTCTGAGTATGTCAGGATTAAATTACGAGCTCAAAAGTAAATGCTGGTCCAGAGATGAAATAAAAGTTGATCCTGGACGCTGCCATTGCGCATGCGCTCTAGAGATCTGGATTAAACTTGAATTCTGGATTAACTTTTATGGCACGTACAGAAGACGCCCTAAAGCACTGAAGAAGTTGTTCATTCTACATACATAAATGATCACCACAGAAGGCTTTTCTCTGTTACTCAAGATCAAAGTAAGTCTGCTGAACAGATCTGCCCTCTTGTACGGAAGGCTTTCACACTGCGCCGAGGTTTAAGCTATAAGGTTTGAAATGCTTCACTTTGTTTAAGGCTTAAAAGGTTTTATCACTGTGCCTCGGCTAGTCTAGACCAAGATTGCCAGAAAACTCCCTTAACCACAAGATGAAACGTATCACAAATTGAAATACAATGTCAGGTTAGAGAGATGTGTATGTATATACGAAGTGATAATGCAGTGATTTAATACAAATGTATGTGTAGATTACCCTCTTTTTGCAGAGACATAATCAAAACATTAGACCATAACTTATAAGCTGTGCTTTTATATAAAGAATGATGTTCGTATCCTCACTGAGCCATGAATCTGTAAGTACATGAGTTCTGATATCCCTATTTTGGATATGCTGCGATGTTACAAGTGATGAAGACTCCCCACATCTAGTAGGCAGGAAAATAAAGCTGTAAGCCAAGTGTTTCTTACCCTTAAAGTCTGTGAACTTCACTTGTCGTCGAGGACTTTTCCCACGCATTTTCGGACGGGAATGGACTGGTCGAAGTATATCCTGTTAGCCGAGTTGATGATGTAGTTCTGGTTTGCTTCTTGGGAGCCTTAACTGCAGTTGTGTTAGTTATTTTAGGAAATTATTATTGATAATGTATTACTTGCATTATAAAATCATGATCCTTTTTATCATCAAGGTTTTATTCATGTCCATCTCTCTCTCTCTCTCTCTCTCTCTCTCTCTCTCTCTCTCTCTCTCTCTCTCTATATATATATATATATATATATATATATATATATATATATATATATACACACATGTGTATATATACACAGGTATATTCATTTATATACATATATATGAAAATGAAGAAAGCAATAATATGAAATGAAAAATTTTTTTCGTTTTCTTCATAATTTTTGTGTACACGTTTCTGTGTTTGTGTTCACACGCACACACACACACACACACACACACACACACACACACACACACACACACACACATATATATATATATATATATATATATATATATATATCCATCTACCTACCACCTCTCTTAACGGTTCACTCGGTAGGTTTAGTCGCGTCAACCCACTCACCGCCGTTCGAGGCCCTGAACAGGGCGAGCGTGTCCTCTTTGTCGGTGCCGCAGAACTCGCTCCGGCTCCGCGCGGCTCACGCCGCCCATGTGCGAGAAGTTGCAATTGTGAGAGAGAGAGAGAGTGAGTGTGTGTGTGAGAAAGTTGTGTATGTGAGAGAGAGAGAGAGAGTGAGTGTGTGTGAGAGTAAGTGTGTGTCTGTGTGAGAGAGATAGAGATAGATAGAGATTGAGTGACTGAGTGACAGTGAATGGCAGAGAGAGAGAGCGAAACATGGTTTATAATTTCAAATCACGTTTCTCGCTGCATTTGCTGTTATGGCAGATAGCATCATTGCAATGTAAACGTAACCCAAATTTGCAGTATTCGTTCCCCGTTTTAATTACAATTAAAGTAACGCTGTGTTTTGGTTTTGAGAACATCAATTATTCCGTGATTTTACTTCAGTCTCAGTCATTGCAAAATCAAGGGTATGTGCTGGCATGTTATATGTTATTCTACAATGCATGACTTTCCCATTGCAGTCCAAACACGAAAACAATAATACATATATTTGGCAGAATGTTGTCTTATGTGCTTATTAGCAGACTTTTGCATATTATTTATATTATGATTATACGAACTGGCAAGACCACACAAATGCAGAGATTTAGACACAATCAACAGACGAAATGTCGGCTCTCGCGGTCTCTCTGCGATGTATATAATCGTGAGTCCCAGCCGCCTCTCAGTAGTAGGTGAAAGTGCGTTGCGTGAGGAAGACTTCTCGCGCTCGTCCGTCACTTAAGGTCGCTGTGTTGGTGTGGTGTCGAGATTTCTCCTGGTGAGAACTGTGTACCGTTTTATTATTTATTTATTTTTTTTATTATTATTATTATTTTTGTGTATAATTTGTATGCTGATATATATTATCGGCCCGGTTGTTAAAATTGTTCGAAGCCCGACCTTATTATTCATAATACGGATATAGATATATATAGACATAAATGCATATCTGTTGGATAGATAGATATATAAATGTATATCTATCATAGATAGAGAAATGTGCATTTATTTACATGTTTTATGTAATATTCATTGGATCAGGCCTCGCTCAATTTTAACCGGACATAAGTAACGTGTATCACACACAAAATTTCAAGATATGATAACATAATGAAAGTGGTCAACATATGAGCATAACACTAACCATTCATTGACAGTAAGTATAAGACACCCTGTACGATTAGATTGTTCTTTTATATGATGATGTTAAAAATTCTGAACATGGGAATGAAATTATCCCCAAAACATGTATCGCTTTGTGACCAAAATTCAAGTACAGGCTTTTAAGTGTAGTGTGTTAATTATATCTTAGTTTTGTAACAAATATACACTTACACAGAGAGACGTGGCACCAAACATAGAGCATAAAAGACAATAAACTACGGTTTGTGTAAGTTCAGTGTATCATTATTATGTGCTTGATGGAATTATGAATAAACCAGATGTAGAGGGGTAGTAAAATATTCACAGGAAAAGCCTCGCTAACTCAGTAATCTCTAGCTTGTTAAAGTCTCACCACAGACCATTTTTGGTGTTTTCTGTTTTATATGAATATTCAGATTTCGTAAGGAATTTATGGTACTGCAAATCGCATATGGTAACTGTTGACTGCTGATGTGTTGAGGTGACTGAAAGATATTGCGCCGTCTTCTCAGCATTTTGCCTCCCACCTCATAAGGTCTATTTGCAATCTATTAGTTAGGCGAACATGCAATATCGGTTATATGTTTCCTGTACAACCCATGTTTTGTGTATACTGCAACCCGTGTCTGAGTCGCTTGTTTCTAAACCGTGTTCATTGCGGCAAAATAATAAGACCAGATATCTTAATAGTGCTAATGTATCTGGCTCGCTTTTGTCTATAGTTAGAAATACATAATTTTGACTAAGATATATATATATGTGCGTGTGTGTGTTTCTATATTCAAATACCAGTGTGTGCATGACCTTTCAGAACCATGAGAGTGTGCGTGCTGCTCCCCGCCCTCGCCCTCCTGTCGCGGGCCAGCTGTCAGTGCCTCTCCTCCTCCGACACCTCGCCGCCCCCGCGGCTCCCGATTCTCAAGCAGTCGACCCCTTCAGGCTCGACTTACTCCAGAAGCTCTCCCTCCGTCGGGGAACTTCTTCATCTCGCCCTTCAGCGTCTGGAGCGCCCTCGTCCTCGCCTACTTCGGCCCGAGGCAAGACGAAGGCGGAGCTGGAGCAGGTTCTGCGGCTCACCAACAGGAGGACACGCTCGCCCTGTTCAGGCCCTCGAACGGCGGTGAGTGGGTTGACGCGATTAAACCTACCGAGTGAACCGTTAAAGAGGTGGTAGGTAGATATATATATATATATATATATATATATATATATATATATATATATATATATATGTATGTATGTATGTGTGTGTGTGTGTGTGTGATTCTGTGTGTGTTTGTGTAAAACATTAACACAGTAACGTGTATACAAAAATTATAAAAAACAACAAAAAGATTTTTTAAATTCATATTGTTGTATTTCGTGTATAGTATATTATATATATATGTATATATATATATAATATATATATATATATATATTATATATATATATATATATATATATATTATATATATATATATATATATATATATATATATATATATATAGAGAGATAGATAGAGAGAGAGAGAGAGAGAGAGAGAGAGAGAGAGAGAGAGAGAGAGAGGAGAAATTGAATACCTTGATGATAACAAAAAGGATCATGATTTTATAATGCAAGTAATAACATTATCAGATAATAATTTCTACTAAAATAACACGACTGCAGCTATGACTCCCAAGAAGCAAACCAGAACTACACCATCAACTCGGCTAACAGGATATACTTCGACCAGTCCATTCCCGTCGAGAATGCGTGGGAAAAGTCCTCGACGACCAAGTGAAGTTAACAGACTTTAATAGGGTAAGAAACACTTGGCTTACAGCTTTATTTTCCTGCCTACTAGATGTGGGGAGTCTTCATCACTTGTAACATCATTGCATATCCAAATAGGGATATCAGAACTCATGTAGTTACAGATTCATGGCTCAGTGAGGATACGAACATCATTCTTTATATAAAAGCACAGCTTATAAGTTATGGTCTAATGTTTTGATTATGTCTCTGCAAAAAGAGGGTAATCTACACATACATTTGCATTAAATCACTACATTATCACTTCGTATATACATACAAATCTCTCTGTAACCTGACATTGTATTTCAATTTGTGATACGTTTCCATCAAGTGGTTAAGGGAGTTCTCTGGCAATCTTGGTCTAGTACGAGAAGACAGAAATATGAGCCGAGGCACAGTGATAAAACCTTTTAAGCCTTAAACAAAGTGAAGCATTTCAAACCTTATAGCTTAAACCTCGGCGCAGTGTGAAAGCCTTCCGTACAAGAGGGCAGATCTGTTCAGCAGACTTACTTTGATCTTGAGTAACAGAGAAAGCCTTCTGTGGTGATCATTTAATGTATGTAGAATGAACCAACTTCTTCAGTGCTTTAGGGCGTCTTCTGTACGTGCCATAAAAGTTAATCCAGAATTAAAGTTTAATCCAGATCTCTAGTGCGCATGCGCAATGGCAGTCCATTATCAACTTTTATTTCATCTCTGGACCAGCATTCACTTTTGAGCTCGTACTTTAATCCTGCCATGCTCAAATGAGCTAGTTAGTCGCACCATTCAGGTAAAAAGGATGAAGTCGAGTTGCCATAAATGTTTATTATTGCGAATAATGAAACTAATTCTGGCATTTTCATGCTAAAGATGTGTATAAACTTTTATCAACATACATTTTCATAAGTCGTGGGATACTTAAACTGCAGAAATAACTCTCGAAAAAAAAAAAAGAAAGGAAATCCCACAAATAATTCCAGAGTTTCAATAACATCACGATTAGGTTTCAGATTTTAAAGTACAAACTTTCTGAATCTTTTATATTACAATGCTTCAAAACTACGTGGGAATTTGTTATCATATTCCTCGACAGCAACAAAAACACGAAAAAACTCTCAGAAATAAACTGATGTAACTTTTGTTTGACAGCTACAGTTCTGTTGCCTATAAAAAGAGCATTTGAAGTCCTTTATTGGATTTAGTTGTCGTAACACAAAATGCACATCCTCATGCTATAAGACTGCCGTATGTATATATATATATATATATATATATATATATATATATATATATATATATACTGTGTGTGTGTGTGTGTATGTATATATATATATATATATATATATATATATATATGTGTGTGTGTATATATATTTTTTTTTTTTTTTTTTTTTTTTTTTTTTTAGCAAACGTCTCGGTAACAGCATTAATTGCGCTAATAAACTTTGCTTAATTACGACCCACAAATCGCGTTCTGGTATTGTGTATTACATCTATGAAAGTACTGTGGATTTGGATGAAACTTTAATCTGGATTTAATGCTGCGTTCGGAACTGCTCGTCTATCTCGTCCAGCCCAGTTGGACAAGATGTTTTGACCGTTCGGAACTTCCACAATCTCGTCCCGGACAAGTATTCTGGCTCGTCCAACTCGCCCTCCTGCGAACCTGGGCGAACAGGACGAGATGACGTCACAGTAATTTTGTATGTAAACATTGACAGTTGTAGTAACCGCAAGATATTGTGGGTAATTTTATAACCCTATTGGTGTTATCAAAGGATATTTTTGTGTTTGTCAGTTGCAGGTAAGTTAAATATGCATCAAAGGAGTTACAAAACCTATGCAGCGTGTAAAATAAAGACACCAGTATGAATAATAATAAAAAAAATAAATAAAAAAATAAATAAAATAAAATAAATATGTTTACCTTGGAGCGGTTGCATTCTGGGCAGAAAAGGGTCTTGGAGGTTCCGAACGCCCACTTGTCCTGCTTGTCTTGGACAAGGTGTCTGGACGAGCAAGACGAGCAGTTCCGAACGCAGCATAACTTTATGACGCGTACAGAAGAGACCCTTGTACAAGAAAAAAATCCTTTCAAGTTTTTTAACATTTTTTAAACGATCTTTAAACTCCATTGACCAAATAATCAAACCTGAATCTGCCATCAGCCGACGCCGCCGCTGCTGACATCAATGCCTTCATCAACGCCGAAACGCGAGGAAAAATACCAAAGCTTATAGAACCCTCCTTTGTTAAAGACGCTAAAATGGTCTTAACTAACGCCGTCTACTTCAAAGGCTTTTGGAAATACCCGTTCAAGCCTCAAAGGACCCACAAGGACAAGTTTTTCGTAACCCCGGAAGAATATGTCCAAGTGGATATGATGACGCAAACGGAAGGTTCAAATATGGTAATGTATGGGAGTTCTTCCTTTATACAAAATGAACCTCCCTACCTTTCCTTGTGTCCAGTTTCCGTTATTACATATTTTTTCCCCATTTTCATTGCGTTTGTATCGATTTGTCGCAAATCAAAATCAATTATGTGTTCATTAGGTGTCTTTCTCTTTATGGGAACATGTACACAATTCCAACACAGAACAAGTTACCTTACAATGCAAAGAAATCGTAAAATGAATCACCTGTTATCAACGAACTTCAAATATGTCCAACTCCGTTCCAGTGGACTCGGAGAAGCTTCACGCCCAGGTGCTGGAGAATGCCCTACAGGGCGACGCCGTGTCCATGGTGGTGCTCCTCCCGCGATATGGGAGAGCCAAGGAGGTGGACAGGCTGGTCCGACGCCTGAGGCCCAGGAGACTCGTGTCTGTGGTGAAGGCGATGCCCTCCGTCCCGCTGATAGTCAAGTTTCCCAAGATCAGCGTGGAGAGTACTCTCGGGGATGAACTCATTTCGGTATGTTTGAATTAGGGCAAGGTAAGCGAACCTGGTAGTTTTGGGAATGGTAAGCAAAGGGTCGTAGTTTACTCACAAATTGAGGTATAATCTGCTATCACAAACGTATATATATATATATATTATATATATATATATATATATATATATATATATATATTATATATATACATATACATATATATATATATATATATATATATATATATATATATATATATATATATATATATATATATATTATATATAAAGTACCAACAGGAAACTTTCCTCAGTACAGCCTAGAGCAGCCCGAGGATATTTGCTGTTTCAGTCTTACAGGCGGCCGTTTTGAATGATTAATTAAGCCAATACTTACCTTTTACATTCATCACTTACATTCCTATTTTTTATTCTGTCTTTGCAATGAATGAAAAAGCGCATTCTGATATTTATACATACATATTAGAATGTAATATTTATATAACATATATATGTATATGCATATATGTGTATATATATATTTACTACATACACAACATATACAATATATATATTATATATATATATATATATATATATATATATATATATTATATATATATATATATATATATATATATATATATATATATATATATATATATATATATATATATATATTATATATATATATGGTATGCGGGCTAAGTGTGTTCACTGGGCTGATCCCAACGCCTGTGAAATTAGGATCGTCATGAAAAAATAATCATATATAATGTGTTACCATTAGGATCATTCAAAATGTGATAGGTAAAATAAACTTAACGTTCAATCATATAATACCAGTATAAGAAACGTAATCCTGGGAAGCCAGATGTAAACCTCTGTTGGACCTCAAGATGGTGGCTGAAGGAAAATTGGCTCGCGTAGGGTTTTTTTTTAAACACTCCGAGCTTACATATCATACCATTACTTCAGTAAAGATTCTGCGCATCTGGTTGCAAAATCGTTACATATTGGTAATAGATATCCCTGAAAGATTAAACTTAGTCTTGCTACTTATTTATATCTAAACTGAGAGAGCAATAAACGATTATTTAATGAAATGAAATACTGATAATCTATTAAAAACTGTTTTGCTTCTTGTAGCGAAATCATGACGCAAAATAGCTTTAAAAAATAGCCTCGTATCCACGCCTTCCTTCTCCAGACTTTAAAGAATATGGGAATCCGTGACCTTTTCTCATCGCCGCCGATCTGACCGACTTCACACATGTTCGAGGATTAATGTGAATGGAGCGATCCACAAGGCCCTTATAGAGGTGGACGAAGAAGGCGCAGAGGCGCAGCGGCGACGGGCGCTGTGAAGTCTAGTCCAATGCCTCCAAAGACGACGTTCACGTGCAACCGGCCCTTCGTTTTCTACATTAAAGATAACGAGGCGAACAACATCCTGTTCATGGGTGTTTATAGGGTCTTTGAGGGTCCTCTGCTGGACCTTGTTATCATTATGGTTGGCATTGTTCTCGTTGATTTTAACGTTATTATTATTATCATTATTATTTCTTGTTATTCTTGTTATTATTATTATTAAAGGTATTATCATTGTTATTGTTATTATTATCATAGGTATTATCATTGTTATTTATCATGGGTATTATCATTGTTATTGTTGACATAGGTATTATCATTGTTATTGTTATTATTATCATAGGTATTATCATTATTATCATTAAGATTATTATTATGATAATTATCATTATTAAATATTAATTGCATTCGATTGTTATTTTCTTATCTCTATTATTGCATTTCAACATTATCATTATTATTATTACAACTAGTGTTACTATTTTCATCATTATGGTTATTATTATCATTACTACTGCTATTATTATAAACATTATTGTTATCTTCATTATTGCCACTATTGATATTGTTAGTGTCAAATTTTGTTAGTTTGCCTCCCCTCTTTAAAACTAACACAAAATCATCATTACCATCATTTTTATGCCCCTGACTATACCGTAAAGGACCACGTACTGAAGACCCAGAGGAGACCAAACACTGTTCACACCCCTCTATAAAGTAAAGTAAGCTATGCCAGAGTAAATCCATTGATATTAAGTTGCTTAAATAAAAGTAACTGAGAGAAAATAAACCCTAAAAGGTAATAGTTATTAAAACCACTTGGAATCATAGTTATGTAAAGAGCATTAAAAAAAAAAAAAAAAAAAAAAAGCGTGACCTGAGAATCAGATGAAGTATATCAACCTATTGAATCATAATCCTTCCTCAAAAAAGATATATCGTTGTAAACCAGATTAATCCTACTGACGCTCCAGACTGTTTAAAGCGTGCTATTTTTCCTCTTTCCAAGAAAGAGGGTTAAACAAACCTATTTATCGATCCTAGTAGTGACATTGCTGAAACTTTTATGAATGCGCGTGTGCGTTAATGATCAGCAGAAACAAATATGGGCTGATCTTCCAGTGCGAGGTTGCCTTGAGCAGAGGCACAGGAAGCGGATCGGCCGAACGAAGCCCAAGTCCCAAACACGAGGAAGGCCATCAGGAGGAAAACTGCAAGGAACTTCAATTTATCTTTTTACTGTAAAGAAATCAAGTTATGAGACAAAGATAAGGATAGGTCCGATATGCGAAGCTGAGCTTCGCCCGGCCTGTGCCAACTAATGTTGACTTGATCAACGTGTGTCAGCTAGTGCAACAGAGGTAGCAATTACCTCAGGGCGACAATTGCAACTTTTCACTACTGGTCGGGGCGCGTTACCACTGTACTATCCTGAAGGTTTAATGATAAGGCAGGTTTTTGGAGTATTTTATACCTAGGACATGATCTTGGGGGTCTGGGATTTGACGGACGACCTGGGGAACTAGATGGTTTGGGAAAGCTTTGGGAACGTCATATGATTCCATCTGAATATGCAATAATTTGTTTGTTTGCCATTTCTAGGAAATTTGACTGAAAACTGAATTTACTACAAATTCCTAAAGTGGTGTGTCACTATGGATATCATTGTCAAATATCATTCAGGAAAACAAAAAACCAGGATTATTTTCTGATTTTTATCCCTATTAAAACTAACCAAAACACATTTTAAATCGTCGTCTGGAGTATACTGTAAACTGAAGATGTGTGTGTGTATATACATATTTTATGTATGTCATAAATATGATATATATCATATATATACACACATAAATACAATGTATTGCAGATACTATCATAATTCATATTATGTTTTACAAATATACCATATACATTATATATATCTTATATCATATACATTATGTATATCATATAACACATACATTATATATATCATACATCATATACATCATTTATATACAATATATTTTGTATTATATATATCATCCTTTATATATATTGTTTATACGATATTTATATATGATATTTATTATATATGTATATAAATTTTAACATATAAATTATATATATTATACATTATATATTATATATATATATATATATTATATATTATATATTTTATATATTATTATATATTATATATATATTATATATATTTTATATATATTATATATTATATATTTATATATATATATATATTATACATATACATATGTATATGTATATATATTGATTACTTATATTATAATTATTATATACATAGATTCCATATATTATATGCATCATATATTATATACAGGTGGTCCCCTACTTGCGAACTTCCGAGTTACAAATTTCGGTACATACGAACAAAGCTGTCAGGAGGGAGTGAGAGTAGCGCGCGTCGTAAACTATAGCTCTCTCACTGTACCCACAAGGTCTCATTCAAACGTGTGTTGTACGCTCTCCAGAAAACTTTTGATTTTGTGATTATTTTTGTAATTGTATTTTTGCTAAATACGATAAAATAAAAGAGTTATGGCTAAATCTCTGACCCCCCCCCCCCATCTGCCTCCAGCTCCGATGTTTACTTTGTCGCGTCTGAGCAAATATACCCAACATTTTTTTTCGATTTATTTTGGTATTCTCTGGTAACTAGCTGGCAACTCTGTTTGCAGCACAGCTGGCAGTTACTACAAAGAGACAAGGTTGGCAGTCACCAGGAGAGAGCAGAGCAAGATGAAATCCGTCCCATACCTCGGGCGACACCATCCCTGATGCGCCCCATCACATAATAGGCCACTACTAATGATCAGTTATTTAACTAATTAACATAATATGATGAGAAAAACATCTCAATCACAGCTGCAGCAGTCTTTTATTTTCTATGAATGCCTCGAGAAGCACTGCAAGCCTCTGGTGACCTGCGGTACTTCTACAATCATGTGCACTCATTGCATTAGTCCTTTGGAAAAAAAAGGGGGGGGGTACACTTCAGAATACATGTGAATGCCATAATGCATCAAGGGTTGACTCAGAGATCAGATTTCCAAAGAAAAAAAAAAAAAATGGAGGAAATATCGTCAACTTCAAAGCCTGATATCTCAAAACTTCGTTCGTACTAGATGAATCGTTCTACGGTACAATATCGGTACAATACTCAAGAACAAGGATAAGATTATGGAACATGTGAAAAGTTCAGTCCCTATGCATTCTACTGTTATTAGTAAGAAACGTGGAAAAGTGATTGCAGAACTTGAAAAACTTCTGAGCATTTGGATGAAGGTTGTTCAAAGCACATTAAAACCACCGAAAACCACTGCATTGTTTATACCGGAACGTCCGAAAAGTAGCTAGTTGTACAGTAATCATACATACCGTACGCCCTACTACGGACATACGAACAAACGTACTTACGAACAGCCTACTGGAACGGAACATGTCGTAACACGCGGACCTGTATATTATATATACTACATATTATATATCATGTACATATATATATATATATATATATATATATATATATATATATATATATATATATATATATATATATATAATAAATATATATGTATGTATCGAAGTTAGTAATATGTATAATATATCGGTACAAAGTGGTAAATATATCCTTTAAAGATTAAACTTAGCCTTACTATTTTAAATCTAAAATTAGAAAGCAAAAAAACGATTATTTGATGAAATGGAGTACAGATAAATTGTAACATTTTTTTCTTCTTGTAACGAAATCATGACATAATATAATAATATATATATATATATATATATATATATATATATATATATATATATATATATATATGCATCGTATCCACGCCTTCCTTCTCCAGACTCTAAAGAAAATGGGAATCCGTGACCTTTTCTCCTCCACCGCCGATCTGACCAACTTCTCACCTGACGGAGGACTACTGGCGAAAGAGGGATCCACAAGGCCCTTGTAGAGGTGGGCCTTGAGCATCCTCTGTTGGACCTTTGTTATTATTATGGTTGGCATTGTAGTTGTTGATAACCATGTTGTTTTTGCCTTCATTATTAATGTTTTAGTTTTGTAATCTATACTGCTATTGTTGTGGTTATTGTTTTTTTCAGTGGAGAAAGCGAAACATAGAATTATCTGTATTAACGAACACTTAGTTTTAATTCCAAATCACGTTTCCCGCTGCATGTCCTGCTGTCAAATAGCATCATTGCAATGTAAACGTGACCCGAATTTGCAACATTCGTTTCCCGTTTTAATTACAATTAAATGAACGCTGTGTTTTTGTTTTGAGAATATCAATTGGCATCTGTAATGTGTTTATTCTATAATGCATTGCACGACTCTGCGATGTATATCAGCGTGAGTCCCAGGCGCCTCTCAGTAGTAGGTGAAAGTGCGTTGCGTGAGAAAGACTTCTCGCGCTCGTCTGTCACTTTAGGTGCTGCGTTGGTGCTGGTGTCGAGACTCTCTTTGGTGAGCACTGTGTACCGGTGTTTTGTATGATTTGTATGCTGATGTATATCATTTTTGTTAATACTGTGCGAAGCCTGATCCAATTATTATGAATATGAATGTAGACAGACAAATGCATATCTGCCGGATAGATAGATAAATACATGTATATCTATCAGATAGATAAAGAAATAAGCCTTTATTTGCATGTATTTATGTATGAATATTCATTGGGTCGGGCCTCGCACAATTTTAACAAACGTCTCGCACACAGTAATCAGAATTTCAAGATTTCATAACTTAATGAAAGTGGTTAACATATGATCATATCACTAACCATTCATTAACAGTGAATACAGGACACCCTGTGTATGATTCTTCTGTATGACGATGTTAAAATTCTGAATATGAGAATCAAATCATCCCCAAAACATGTATCGCTTTGTGATCAAATTCAAGCACAGGTTTTTCATTATAGTTCAGATTTATAGTGTAGTAATTAAATCTTAGTTTTGTAACAAATATACACTTACACAGAGAGACGTGGCACCAAACATAGATCATAAAAGACAAAAACTACGGTTTATATAGGTTCAGTGTATGATTATTACGTGCTTGAATGAATTATGAATAAACCAGATGTAGAGGGGTAGTAAAATATTCACAGGAACAGCCTCGCTAACTCAGTAATCCCTAGCTTGTTAAAGTCTCACCACAGACCATCGTTGGTGTTTTCTGTTTTATATGAATATTCATTTTTCTAACAGTTATTATGAAGTTCTTGACCTTTTCCAATATGATCCGAATGTAAACAATTTAGAAAGGCTTTGAGTTTGGAAATTAAAACCCAACCTTAATAAATACCATTTTTTCCATTGACACAATTTAATGGTGTACCCATAATTTATGCAGGCTTTCTTTTTTTTCGATTTGAATTGGTCGTGTGTTTCTCTGTAACTGGCCAGACCCTCTACTCTATCCATGAGGCTCAGATGGTGGACATGGCTGCCTGGATTTTCCTTAGTTTTTGGAAGTTTCTGTAGTTAGTATTTTGTGGTTTTGCATATTAAGTCATTCATTAGCACATCTAGATTCTCAACACACCATTTCTTCTGGCTTTCAACGAGGTCGGTTTGGAGAGTGCCGTCCACTGCGACCTAACACGTTATCGTACTTGTCCGTTTATCATACCTCTGGTTCAGGTAAACGTTTTCTATAAAGCCGCTAGGAGACTGGAATATTAGATTGTGAAGTTATTGTTCTATTATCGATTTATATTGTGTAATTTAAACTTTCAGCAGTGTATTTCGTAGTTTGTATTGTGTA